GCGCCTAATAGGGAGGGAGGAGTGAATTTTTGAAAGCGCAAAGAAATTGAAAAAAAAAATTTTTTTCAATTCAAAAATTCATTCCTCCGACTCTAATTGCGACTAAGGGATGAAATTTGTGCCAACGCGTTGAGCATTAAATACTCAATGAGTGACACAAATTTCATCCCTTAGAGCCTGATAGGAAGGGAGGAGAGAATTTTTGAAAGCGCAAAGAAATTGAAAAAAAAAAAATGATGAAAATTGTGCCAACGTGTTGAGTATTTAATACTCAATAAGTGACACAAATTTTATCCCTTAGGGCCAGTTAGGGAGGGAGGAGTGAATTTTTTAAAGTGCGAAGAGATGGAAAAAAATTTTTTTCAATTCACTAATTCATTCCTCCCAACCTAATTGCGACTAAGGGATGAAATTTGTGTCAACGTGTTGAGCATTTAATACTCAATGAGTGACACAAATTTCATCCCTTAACGCCAGTTAGGGAGGGAGGAGTGAATTTTTGAATGTGCGAACGGATGGAAAAAAAAATAAAAAATTTTCAATTTAAAAATTCATTTCTCCGACCCTAACTGCGACTAAGGGATGAAATTTGTGCCAACGTGTTGAGCATTTAATACTCAATACGTGACACAAATTTCATCCCTTAGCACCTGTTAGGGAGGGAGGAGTGAATTTTTGAAAGAGCGAAGAGATTGAAAAAAAAATTTTTTTTCAAATGAATTCTCCAAAGTGCGGAGATTGAAAAAAAATTTTTTTTTTCAATTCAAAAATTCATTCCTCCGACCCTAACTGCGACTAAGGGATGAAATTTGTGCCAACGTGTTGAGCATTTAATACTCAATAAGTGACACAAATTTCATCCCTTAGCACCTGTTAGGGAGGGAGGAGTGAATTTTTGAAAGAGCGAAGAGATTGAAAAAAAAATTTTTTTTCAAATGAATTCTCCAAAGTGCGGAGATTGAAAAAAAATTTTTTTTTTCAATTCAAAAATTCATTCCTCCGACCCTAACTGCGACTAAGGGATGAAATTTGTGCCAACGTGTTGAGCATTTAATACTCAATAAGTGACACAAATTTCATCCCTTAGGGCCAGTTAGGGAGGGAGGAGTGAATTTTTTAAAGTGCGAAGAGATGGAAAAAAAAATTTTTACG